ATAAATATATATATTTAAAAATTTTATTGAAGAGGTTAGGAATTTAAGAGTAAGCACAGATACTGTAAAAGGATGCTTATGAGAACGTTACTTACAATAGTAGGACTTTAATGAGAATCTAAATGCTAAGCCTTGTAAGAATAGTAAAATAAAATCCAGCATGTGAGAAAATGTTTATTATAGGACAAAGTATGTTTTGTTAAAAAACAAAAAAGTATTTGGAGACAGTGGATGTAAGGATCTGATGGTATAAAGAATCTGATGGTATAAAAATGCATAGAAAATAGAGGGAATTATACCACCGTGCTAATATTTACCTCTGGGTAGTGCGAATTCTTTCTGTCCTTTTTTTTTTTTTTTTGGTTTAGTTTTCTACATTTGGAGAGGGAGTAGGAAAAGCTGGGGCTCTGGGCTTGAACCCTGCAGTTATCAGCGACCGCCTCTTCACTTAGTTCTCCGCGTCCTCCCCACAACTCCCTTTAAATATTCTGGGTTTTTTAAAGTTTCTAACCTGGCCTTGTGGAGGTGCCCCTAGTTTTGGAGGTGGCTGGGGGAACTATGGGAGGCTGTGAGTTAGAGCTCAGAGGAGGGGTGCCTGGAGAAAGCTGCCCTGGAATTCTTCCTGAGCCTTCTCCAGCTCCTCTCCGGTCCCCCTTGCACACAGGGCTGGCCAGGCGTTAAGCCTCCCTAGGGGGGTGGTGGTTGTGTAGTGGGGAAAGGAGGGCCAAGGCCTTAGTGTGGCTTGTCCACACAGGGCGATTGGCAGGCAGGCGCCCAGGCCAGCCCCTGAGGAGATAAGAGAGGAAGTGAGCCAGTGCCAAGGGAGGCAGGTCAACTGCGCAGAGGTTCCCTAGCACTGCCCTCGGCCAGCGCCGACATGTCACCCGCCAGCTTGTTAGAAAAGCCGTGTCAGCATTAGAACAAGGCCCCAGGGGGATGCATAGGCTCTTTCAAAAGTCGCCGATCATTTTGTTATGGCAAAGCCAACGGTCAAGGAGGACCTTTGTTCCTCTGCTCTTCTCCAACAGATATTGCCAAGGCCCAGACTGGTCCTCTGTCAAATTTTGAAGTACATTAGTCTCTGCTTATCCGTGGAGATACATCCCAAGGCCTTCAGTGGATAGTTCTGAGCTCTATATAGACTATAATTTTTCCCCTACATACCCGTGACAAAATTTAACTTATAGGCATAGCAAAAGATTAACAGTAATAACTCATGGTGAAATAGAATAACTGTAACGATGTGCAGTAATAACAGTTTATGAATATGGTCTCTCTTGTTCTCTCAAAATAGGTTATATTAAAAAATAGGGGGCTGATTCCATAGCCTTGTGCTTCAGGGAGCTGGATCCCACATGGTTCAAGTTCTGAATCTGGCAGTTCTGAAGGCACTGGGGATGTAGAAGGAGAAATGGAGAAGGATTGCAGCACGACCAGATGCCACCTGGGGGTTGCATTTTCCTTCCCCCTTTCTCTCTGTCTCTCTCTGGCCAGTATACATACCCTCTGGCTTATAAACATAAAAACAATCAATCGATCCATTTTTAAAAATAAAAAAAGTAAAAATAACTGACCACAGTTGACTACAGGGAACTGAAACATGGGCAGCAAAACCACAGATGAGGGGGATACGATAGGCAGAATTTTGAATGATATAAGACCTTCGAGTTTACAGAACACATTGAACTCTTGGGGGTCTCTATTAGGTCCTTTCCAGATGAAGAAGCTGGGTCTCAGAGATGTAAGCAGCTTGATGCTGAGAACACTGGACTGTGCGTTAGCAGCTTGGGTTCTCATCTGGCTGTTGCCACGAGATTGCTGTGGGCCGTGGGATGCCTTCAGAGGTGCACGTGTTTGGTGGGAGAACAACCTGTTCCAGGTCTGAGCTGGCTCTCCAGGGACCCCAGCCTCCTGGTGCCAGTCCCTGTACCAGCCGCTGTGTCTTAGACGCTCACTCTTGCCTTTGGCTGCCCCGCCTCCCCTTTCTTCAGGGCCCAACCCTGTCTTCTGATCAGCGTGGGTTTCTCAGAAGCTGTTGATTTCATGAGCCTTTTCTAGAGAGGTATTTCGGTCTGGCTTTATCTGTCTGGCGTGACAAAGGCCCTGTCCCTGCTGGAGGATTTCAGGCCTCACTGAGCAGCTGGGCTCGTGAGACCTTCTTGAGACGTCTGATACAGAGCTTGTCTCTGTCACCCATCCCGTCTGCGGGAACGGCGCTGACCCGGTGTCCTCTGCTCCCCGGCTCTGTGTGTCCAATTACTTCTATGAGAGGTTTCCTTTATTAATGTTCTACCGAGTGTGCAGATGGGCCTGCTGAA